CAATGCACGTCTTTGATTCCTGCTGCCAAAGGTTTTTTTAAGATGAAAATTTGCCATTTAAAATTGCGAAGTCTAAATGTAAAACAGGTGCAAAATTCCATTCAGGAAAGAATTGTACAAAATCTTGAAAAATGGCACATGCTTTTTGCCTTTCTGAGTCTATGCCATTTTCTAAGGCAGGGTTTCTTTAATGTTTAGAAAACATGTTTACATTTAATTTTCTAACAAATTGTTTCTTGAAAAAGTTTTTAAAGTTTTTATCTCTGCCAAGATTTTTTTTCCCCCCCAAGTAATTTGAAAATCACAATAACAAGTTAAACACTGAAAAAATAATGCAGGCAGTTGGATTCAGCAAATCATATTGCTTCAGGATAGCAACAGCATGTGTGCCCAGTAACACTGTGAACTGAAGGCACACAAAACTCTTTTCAGCTGATAGCCAAAGAGTAACAGGAATATTAACGTCAATTTGCAAAAGGACAGGGGGCTTCCAAACCCAAAAGAGGTGAATGTAGCACTGACTGCCCCACATCAGTGGCTGCACTTCAAACACTTTACTGGTTGTAAAGTGGTGTGGATGAAAGGCTGTATAATTAACTGCAAATTCAAAAATAAAGAAGTGTTCTTTTTCAGTTAAACCTAGCCATTTTACTGTGTTATTTTGATGGCCTTGATTATCTTACAGTAGTTACTCTGAACATTCAAACTTCAGATGCAGAAAGAATCCATTGGCTGAAAGTATCTTGAAATTTCATTGGGGCAATTCAATTAGTTCAGGTTCTGTTTCATTTGTAGATTTTGGCTGATTTTACAACACACACACCGACATTTGATGAATACGAAATCTTGCGTAAAACATGTGAACCTGCAGTGCAAATGAAATGATGCATCTGACGTCAACATAGAATGCATGGAGGAGAAACAAAATACATATTATCTCATTTTCAGATCATCAATAGATATGTTTTAGCATGTGGAAAAATTACCTTGTAAAATAATCCATGACAATGACTCAGGAGAAATTCTTCAAAATTTGATCACTTCTCCTAGCCCTTACTGACATGTAGCGAGTACATGGTGTAAGAGGGTAGCTACCAAAATTTGACGTACAACCAATCTCAAGCATCATTGCAGAAAAGCACAGTCATACATATTAATACCAGTACCACATTTTAGCTCATCCACAATGCAATCCACTCAGTAAAACTTATTTACCACAACATTGTACCATTAATACAATACCATCTAAACTGTATATTAAGATTATCAGAGTTAAAACAAGACAGAAATATTTTTAAAAAGAAATGGAAAATATGGATGATTGAAATTTCAAAATTTTTAGAATTCATTCATGTGATGTATGCCTTGCTATCTAAGCACCTATGATCTGTATGTTCTTGTATGTTATGATTTGCTTGCAAAACAAAACTTTTCACTGTACTTAGGTACAGGTGACAACAATCAATCAAACCAAATCAGATCAAAGTGCTGTGGGCATTGCTGACTAGACCAGCATTTATTGCCCATTCCCAGCTAAGAGTCAATCACATTGATAGATTCTGTTAGGGTATTAAAGGATATGGAACAATGGTGAATAAGTGGGTTAAAATACAAATCTGTAATGTTATTATTAAAGGATATGGCTAGCTTGAAGGATTAAATGGCATATTCCATTTATGAGAAAACGCTGAGTTTTTAATAACCTAACTATAAGACAAGTTGGAAATTTTGTAGGAATGCAGTCAAAAGCTTCCTTTAGATAAATGGGGATGGCTGCAATATTAAATGTTTAATTGATGACCTATGTTTGAATGGTGCTTCCTTATAACTTACAGCATTTCCTAGATCTGCTGCTGCAACTATTGTAGATACGAATACATTGTCTCATAGTCAGTGACACTTACATATCTTCATTGTGCATGGGTGGCCAAGCCTGAAGAAGCATCACCAAATGCTGAAATTTAGTCCTGTGGTTACTGGAATCAAGCAACTCCAAAAAGAGCAAGAAACGTTTCTCTTCATTCTCAATGTCATTTACATTAACCTGATGATGAAACATGCAGGAAACATTGATTTATTAAATACTTCAATACCCTTAGGATTACAGTAAGCACTTCTGCATTCAATTATGATTTGAAAAGATGCCTATTGTTGCACCTCTCCCCAGGGGCACAAATTCAGTTTCTCATTTTTATGGCTGCTCTCCTCTGTTTTCTCCAAAGGGAGTTTGCTACCACATGACATCAGTAAAATATACATGTGGTGATGAATGCTGGGTTCAGTATGACAAAGCACAGTGACAGAACTGTATAGGTTCAAGTAATATTTGATTTACAGTATTTTCTAAAGGACAGTGAATGACGATCTGCAATATTTGTATTGTGGTGTAATTCCAATTCAACAGAAGGTATGTATAACCATTAAAAACTTTAAAATATTCACTAGGGCAAACCATGGTGAGGATTAAAGACTTTTTAAACTCTATATGGGGATGGGTATTTGATAGTGACATCCCACTACCAGTGAGAAAGCCCAACCGATCAAGTGCCAATTGAGCAATTTATTGCTGAACGGTGGGCTGCTGGTGCCATCTGATGTGACTACAGCCCTGACCTGACGCTGGTGGTCAGAGTTCAGCAGCGACTGGGAGATGGAAAGTCGATGGAGACCTTGGCTGCACAGCCTTGAAGATCTGCAGCGACAAAAGGCTGTGCAGGGCGGGGAGGAGAGGGGGTGGAAGAGAGAGAATCGCAGTGAGGGTTGCAGGGAGCTTGGAGGTTAGGTCAGGGGATGACTTAGAGTGGGGCATTCCCAGCCTGTCATCCATTCTATCAATTACCCCCGGATTGGAGCAAATGCAACCCCATCTTGGCTTCTTCGGTTTCCCCATTAGGAAAAGCAGTCACTTTTCTTTCCTGCTGGATAGGAAGGTAACATGGGGTGGAAGGTGGAAGTGGACAAGAGGTTGTTAACTGGCCACCTAATGGCCTTAATGAAGTGGGGGTCAGGAAGGGTGTCCACAGGCCTTCCCATCCAGAACTTGATTGGCAGGAAGGGGTCAGGTATCACACTGGTGCAAACCTGCCCCATTATTTGCCACTTTGAAGCACGAAGAATTCAGCCCCAAGTGTCAGACACAAAAGGGGAAAAAGAACATTTTCATGGCTGTTCCAATTGTCAGTTTTTTAAAATCACAATGGAGTTCAGCACTTACAAACAAAAACTCTAAAGCATACCAATTCCAAGTACGCAGCTAAAAAATGCAATTCAACTTTAAGAAGCCCATTACTGCTTTGTTCAAGCTACATATCATAGACTGAAGGAAGCAGCCAACTAAATGTAAAATTTTAAAGGACAATAAAACTCATATTTTTGTTTGAGAGTAGGATTAAAAAAAAAATCAATGTCATCCAATTTATACACTACATCAGTCAATACTGACACCAGATAACCGTTATTGCGAAAAGAGCAAAGAAAATGGAATATTTAACTACTTATGCCTATCTTCATTCTACTGACTTTTCTTAACCAGATGACTGAAGAGGGTCACTGGACTTGAAATATTAACTCTGCTTTCTCACTACAGATACTGCCAGACCGGAGTTTCTCCAGTAATTTCTGTTTGTTTAAGATTTCCTGCACCCTCAGTTCTTTGTTTCATTTTAATGTCTTAAAAAAAAAATATTAAAAATCCAGGGGAAGCTGCTCATAATGACATTATTTAAATTTAAATCAATATTTGTTAGAAGTATGCTGATTCTTTCTTAAGCTGATGGGTTTTCTTTGATTTCGACAGTGGTTTGGGAAGGTATGGTCCTAAAATGGTACCCTCACTCACAGATCAATCAAATATCCAGATGACGGAGATATTTTCTAACTGCAAAAATCCACTGTGGCATTAAAACATATGCTAACAATTGTAAGTTTTTATTGTATCTACTTCAAGATATTTTATACAATATTTTATGCTCTTCTTCAATTTGCTGACTACTATAGGAGGAAGCCATGCAATCAAAGGCATTTGATTTTTTTGATAGAATGGATGAAAATAGGTTTTCAAAATCACACATCCAGATTGCAATTAATATGCAGATTTTCAGCTGCCCTCCAAGAACCATCAGCCTCTGCCTTATTGAGTGCAATGCAGGGCATGGAAGCCCATCAGTCTGAAAGATTTCTGACCATAATTTGATTTTTACTAATGCATTGTTACATGCACAAGAAACCTAATTATGATTAATGAAGCCTTTAGGCTAAATATTATTGCAGTATGTTGAGCAGTCTGTCATCTATAGCTCGTGAAACTGAGTTAAGCTTGAACTATATAACTAAGGTTTCTGTACTTATCAAAAAGACTGCAGAAATCAGTTTTCATATGCTTTAAACAAATAGCCTGTTTTCTGCATTCTAATTATGCGCACACCACGTAACTAGAAAATTACAGAACTAAAGGAACATAGATAAAACGCATCAAGGGAATTGTAAGAGCACACTTTCTCCCTCTAGTGGTGGAGGTAGAGCTCCAAATTCAACCATCAAGTAAAGATTAAAAGTCTCCTGCAAATTGAATGCATTTAAATTATTAATTCTGTCAACTATTCATTACTGCTTCAGCATTTGCTATTTTTTATGGTTCAAATGTTGTTTGCCTCAGTGCAACTGTTTAAATTTTGAACGAGCTTATCTCCCAGCACCATGGCAATCTGTAAAAAACATATTTATAGTGCATAGAAATCAATTAAATATTAAACTCTTTAATGTCCACACAGCCTGACTAAGAGGATTACATACTGTCACACAAACTTTGGTAAGGTTCACTGAGATTTTTATTCCTTCACAAAAGCTTGCAGTGGAAAACGGTTGGTTCAGCATCATCTTTGAAATACAAGTGAAAATAAAGGGTTAAAAGAAAACTTGTGGCAGAATATGGCATAGAGAGTGAAAAAAATGGGCAGGTAAGTGCAGGGGAGCGAGGAAGAAAGACCGTCAGAGGCAGAAAAAGGGAGTTGGCACAAACATGTGCAACAGCAAATGAAAGTAGGAGTGAGAGAAGGTAGGAAATAATGAGCAAATGTAGGAAATAGTGAGCACAAGTAGGAGACTGAGTGAAAGTAGGACAGAACATGTGAAAGTAGGACCAAATACCATGTTGGCTTCGAAACTTAGAGGTTTGATTTAAGAAAAAATTAACTTTTACATTTGATGAGCCAGTTCTTAATTCTGTGGTTCATTAATGACATAAGCAAATGCCATTCTGAAGAACCAGGCATGTTAATCAGCTGAAGTAGAGCCAGCTTCCAATACAGTATTTCAACCACAGGACTATTCCTCTTGTAACATACTGGTTTTCCCAATAAGGGGTTTATTCTTATTGATTACTTGACCAGATGACACCATGCAGAACTTGTATTAATGACAACACAAAGCAAGTTGATTAGGTACTGATTTATGATGTTTATTTTCCATCACGGTGATCAAGTTCCAGGAAATATGCATCCAACAGCACAGCTTACCAGCTGAAGGTAGAGCAAATATAATGCTATGCAGAGTTCAATCAATGAATGATCAATGTAAATAAAACATCTCACAGTAAGATTTAATGGGCATGATGTTTCTTTTCTGCAACTATTATCTTTCTGCATAGTACCAACTGTTTGTTTTTAGCTGAAATTTACACTAGTCACAACATGTGTCACTAAACAAAGGACGTGGAATGGTAATTTGGTTTCAGAAGCTCAAAAGAAGTATCCATGCGCAGCCAGAAAGCTCAGAATGTATGAGGAGAAACTTCACTGATTTATCACCTCAGACAGACATGTAGTTTAGTAAATGAATGCACATGCACTGTGTTGGAAAAGGGAACCAATGGATAATTAAAACACCAAACAACAAATACCTACTTGTGTCAGAAACTGGATTTTACAGAATTAAAAACAATAAAATTATACATTTGGTAAGTGAGTTCTTAGCTTGGTGGTTCATCAATAACGTGAGGAAAATACATTCTGATTAGGCATGTTAATCAGCTGAAGTAGTTATAGAACAGAAAATTACTTAAATTTGTCATCTCGAGTGGAGTTGAATTGAAAGTATGAGTTCGGAAGAGAAAAGCTTACTAGCTATAGTTTAAAAGACTATAGTTTGAGAATACCAAGACACGCACATCCAGTAAGCATACGTAAAACAGTAGAATCTTAGAATTAGCTTTATTGTCACATGTACTCAAATGAGTACAGTGAAATGTTTACAAGTCGCCACTTACAGGGTCATCTTTGGTCAATTATCGTAACATACTGATTTTTTAAAAAGCTTTATTTGAGCCTATTTTTGATTATAATTTACACGGTATAACTCACACAGTCCGTTAAACATGCTGCCGGGATATGCAATCTTAGTTTCACAGACACATTATTCTCTTTCTTCAACAGAGCACCATATGGTTTAGAGCATTTGACAGACATTGGTGTTTGAAAATAAACAATTTAAATTTGCTGGTTTTGAAGCAGGGTTGAGCTTTTTATTTTAATTTCAGGTTACCAAAATAAAATTCCCAGTTAGAATATCCTAATGTTCACTTTCACATAATCTGTAACTTTCAGACAGTAAGATTCAGAAGTGGATCAAAGTAGTTTTACGAAACTATTAAGTTGAAAAAACCCACTTTAATAGATATCTTGATTCGCTTTGGTGATGTAACAAGACAATATTTCAAACATCTCTCTTCCAAATCGAAAATGTGTGTATTTATTGAGGAAACAGAACACACATAAAAATAGTTGTATTAATACAAGTATTCTTAACATAATTTTATGGTACAATTATAAGCTGGAAAACAAAACAACACAATATAAAAATAAAAGCTACCTGTTTCTCCGGCCAGCACGCTTTCAGAACAGCTTGGGTTCTGAAGAGCACAAGTAACTTGCTGTCCTCATCACTGAGAGCAAATGCCTGCTCAAGAACTTGCAGAACATAAATACGAGGCTTTACAGGCAAATCTGCATCACTGCAAAAAGGTCTCAGCCATGTCAAGAGGTCATCCGAAGAAACAAGGGTACCCCTAAGTTACAAAGGAGAGTTTATTGTTTTCCCCCATAGTGAAAGATCAAAATACAAGCATTTTATGAGTGTTTTAGCATCTTCAAGGTAGAACTTATACTCACCCATCCACAACATTGGAATGCACGGATTTGACAATACCTTCGAGGACCTGAAGTGGATCCTTTTCTGGTAGGATCTCTGTACTGGTACCACTGCACAAAGGCAACAAACAGGAAGATAAGTGAAGAGAACTATACATTCAATTTATCAACGGCATTTAGATTGATCAGAAATTGTCGCGTGGTGGTTACATCATTGCCCTCATAATTCTGAGGCTGAACTCATAAATCAAAGAATATGAATTCAACTTGCATCAGGGCAGTTTTAGATTGCGAATTCAGCTGGAGAGAGATTTGGAAATAAAATGCTATTATTTTAGCAAAAATATCACCATAAGTTACTGATTTGTTGTATATCCTAACTATCAGACTTTCTTTTAAGGAAGAAAAGTTGTCTTCATTCTTATTTATTATCAACTGTATCGCATTTCAGTGTGTTTGGTTTTTAATTACCTTTTGGGGGTGGCCTTGCTGTACAGTAGACAAAATTTGAAATCATACTTAATAAGAGAATAAAACCATAAAATTCCAAAACAAAGATTTTTTTTTAACTATATAAGCGACAACAAAACAGTCAATACCAGCTATCTTGTACTCTCAAATCCAGAACTAATGACATAAACATCAATTAACAGGCAAGCTATAGTCAAATACGCTACAAACTGCTTATTAAATTTGCGGACGCTATCAAAACAGGGCCAACAAAATCTCAGCTACACACCCAGTTATTTGTGATCTCAGAGTCATAACAAAAATCTTTTAAACTCTATGACTTTCTCGTGAGGGATTTCAGATCTTCTGTGAGGATTTAGCCTCTGGTTTCCCTCCACAGAAACCCTTTTGCTTCTTCTTCCTGCAATCAGTTGCCAGGCAATTGAACGCCAGCTCAGAGTGCTCGACACAAACTAAAATACTGCAGAAGCTGGTGATCTGAATTACAAACAGGAAGTGTTCAAGAAACTGAGAATGTCTGGCAGCAACTGTAGACAGAAAATCAAGTTCCAACAAAAATCACATTGTACTCAAAGTGTTAAAGCCCTTCCTCTCTCCACAGATGATGCAAATGCCAGGTTGGCTGAGCTTTTCTAACACCTAGTTTTTAAATTTCAAACCGGCCCAAAAACTACTCTCTGCACAGTCACTCAAGTCCTCGCCGAGACAGTATCCCACGGTATTTATCTGACTGCACATTACTTGGGCCCAGTTCCATCTCTGCTGCTGCTATCGTTTGCTACCAACCTTTCTCTGCCAAAACCTCTGTCACGTGGGCTGTCTCTATCACACACATGGTCCCATGGTTAGATTTCTGCACTGCACGCTAGGTCCCGTGAGCAAATACATCTTCACATGTCCTGTGGTCTGATTTTTGGACCATCAACTTGAGCAAGCGTGACCTGCTGTCTGCTGCTCTTGGCACTTGTGTAAATGCCCTAAGTATGCCAAGAGTTATACATTCCTGGCCTCTGAGCCAAAAACACAGACAAAATTCAAAAGTTTTGTGATCCCCTCATACAACGCAGCTAAGAATGAACAATATATGCCAGGCTCGCCAACGATGGGCAGATCCCAAGAATGCAAGTAAAAACTATCCATTAAAGTTTGATCCATAACAATTTCAGCAAACTCTGATTTAACTGACACCTTATCAACTGGCAAAAATTATATACCTTAAATACTGCTATGTTTGAGTATTTATGCTGTATATAAAGTATAACAGTGATGTATATATCCCCTGCATTAAGTTTCTATTACTTATTGTGTGTCTTTACATTGATTTTAGGAGACATGTTGATGTTTTTACAATCGATTTATTTTAGGGATGTTGGTGTCTTGAAGCTTCACTTGGTCAGTGTTTGTTGCGGTTATGCGTACCACTTGATTAACCAGAATACTCCTGGTCCCACAGATGCCAGTTAATTAAAGGTTTACTGTACTTTTTTGTCCCCAAGTCAGGATCAATTTGTGAAGACTGCTTTGGACTGACTGTCCTCACAAAATATGCAAATAATCATTCTCTTAAATTCATTATTAGATCCTTCTCCTTTCCATATTCAAAACTTCTCCAAAAATATTTGTCAGTTCAAACCAGACATCCACAGAAACATTTTGGGCAAGTATGATTTTCTTGAATGCTGCCAGGCCTATTTGACTTAATATACAAATGAACACTGATCATTTGCCTTTCAGGATTTAAACTTGAATCAACTGATCAAACTGCAGATCCTCCTCTGGAAGATTCTAAAATAAATGAGCTTGTTCAATATCATGCCAGTTATAAATGGCTATAAACCAACTTCACATCGAAAGAACTGATGCAAAATGGGTGTAGAGTTCACTTTCGCATAATTGCATCAGTGAACTGTAGTGACAAACGTTCATTTCACATACTGACAACTCAGGAAGCTACACTGCCTCATAAAATGTCTGCATTTCTCAATCTGTACGAAACATCGTGGGAGCAAAAATTAAAGTGTAACTTTTGGTGGTGTTAGTAAACTAAATAATTTATTGTGATAGGCAAGAAATTTTTGCTTAGAAGCAAAGGTAAGTCATGAGGTTAATATTTAAACTTTAATCAGCACAGTTTTTATTTAACAATTCAAATAACAAATTTAATTTTCCATTGTTTTTCCTTGCTTTACTAACCAAGGCTAAATCCCTTCTAATTTCCTCACTATGGCCTGACTAATCTTACTTTAATCTTAGTTCAAGTAAAATTTTAAATTATTGATGTGTTAAATATTAATGTTCTGTAAAGTGGCTCAGGGTCACACATATGCTATCAATCTACCAACTGCGTTATAAGGAATGTAGTTAAAAATCTAAAGCCAAATACTTGAACTATTTGACATCTGACACCCTTTTGATATGGTTAGATAGATTGGCCATTTCTGCTGGTAATATAACACTAAATACGGTGAAGGGAATTCATAGCATATAGCTCCTTCGACCATTTTGGGTATTTTCCCACCTTGTTACTTTAGTTGAATCTTATGTCCGAAATCTCTCCCTGAAAGAGTTCCAACCCTACACGCTTACAAACGGATAATGCATAAGCCACTAGCATGGCATTGTTAAATAGTATGATCGATACGGAGCTTGTAGAGGAATACACAGCAAGGAACATCTAAGCTAATTAAACCCAAATCTTGAGAAAGTTTAATTTATCCAAACAAAAATTGTGGAACACCATCTCGATAAGTGATAGATAGGAAGTCAATTAAGATGCACACAATGACACAAGTGAATATTTGGAAAATGAACACTGCAAGGGATATTGACAAAAAGCAAAGAATAAAGATAAATATATCTTCAACAGATATCAGAATTCTTGGAAAAGGTTTGATGTTGCACTCCTGAACCTATCATGGTAAGGTGTTGTGAGGATAGTGGCTACCTGTGGATCTTATCAATATGCAATCACCTGTCCTTTTCCAGCGTGCAGTGTTCCATATAGCAGGCATCCTTCTGATTGGTAAAAACCAACATGGTAGGTATGTTGCCCAAGACTGTGACCATGTGCAGTAAAGTTTCATATCATTCATGCTTGAGCAAGATAACAAAGGGTGACAGATGACTGTGGAACCACAATGCCTTCCCTAAGGGGAGTGAAAGCTGCCTTCAAAGGATGAAAACAAACCATACCCAAATTGATCATACTGTTTAGCAACCCAGTGAATGGCCGACATATTCAACATGTTTGGAGTTGGAACTCACTCAGTGGAATAATTTAGAATACAAAATTTTTTTTTTTTTTTTTAACTAATTTTAAGCAACAAGGTGAGAAATGACCCAACATGGTAAGAAGTAATAAAGTATGAGGCTGCACACCTTCAGCGTAAGATTGGCAACTGGGAGCTTAATCTAAAAAAGAACTACAGATGAACAAAGCCATTTTAGCGATAAGGTAACGTTATACTGCAGCTTCCAACCTTGTTGAGACTCCAACAGCAACTGCTTAAAACTAAACCTAAAAAAACTAGAAATCCTGGGCTGAGACAGCTGGCCACACCCATCCAGGTTGCTTCATTTGTTCCAAGTTTTTAAAAAATCCAGGGCCTCACAATCTGTTTACGTTACCACAGACTGCTCAGCGCCTCTCATTCAATCTATCTCAAAAGAAATCAGGACAAAGTGCACCTCTTAAAATCACAACACCATCACAGTATGTTAGTTTACAAGTACAAAAATAAATCGAAAGCCAATAAGATGCAGGGTTTCAGAACATAATAACAAAAGGAATTCTACTCCTGAATACAATCCATTACTGCAATTAGCAAATGTTCAGGCAAAACCCTCATTACATTGCACTCTGTGTAGCTTAGAGGCAAGATTTCCTCCAAGTCAAGGATATACTTACATTGATTTTTTTTTTTGTTTGTACATTTGAGACAAAAGGTACAACAAAGACTAAATGAGGAACATCAACAATATAATTAGGCAGATTTTTATTCTTAAATTTCAGTCCTGATGTGTGCAAAATAGCTTCAACTTCAGTCTCTTTTCAGCAATATTTAAGTTCTGTAACACTAAGCAATTCTATACGTCTTTTTCAGAGGCAGTTACTTTTTATTCTAGTGATATTAATGTTATCTCCAGTAAGAACAGTGACTCCCGCACTCATTTCCTCTCTCTAACATTTCCATACAGATTATGCACTTCAATATTTAATTCCCAGTTGATTTTTCTGCAGCCATGTCTCCATACCCATCGGAGTAGTCAAGCCCCACCACATATGTTGGTGATTTTAAAATGTAACTCAATTAAATTTAGAGTAAAAAGCTACTATTAAATATATAAACAATTGCATGGCAGTATAAAACTTAAAACGTTGATAGAAAAAGACGTGAAGTTGAATCTTGTCGTCCTGACCTCATCAGGACTGAAACACTCGAATATAAAACTTTAGAAAGGAGGGAGCAATTCATACAATCCCGACAGTGTAGAATCGGGCCATTTGGTTCTTCAAGTCCACATCGACCTTCCACACCACCCAAACCCACCCCCCCACCTACCCAATCCCTTAACCCCTCATTTCCCATGGCAGACCCACCTAGCATGCACATCTCTGGACACTATGGAAAATTTAGCCCGGCCAATCCACCTAACCTGCAAATCATACGGAGTCTGGATTTTATGCGTACTGCCTACCTTCAAACCAGCTGGTGGATGGGGTAGGGGAGGATGCAAATCTAACCAGGGAGCACTTTGCAGATCCTGTGTTGGCATGTCATAGAAATTAATTCAAGCTACTGGAGAAGATGGGGAAAAAAAGATTTGCCAAGGGTGATACCAGGAATGCAAGACGATATTAATCAGGGAACTACGAACAGGCTAGATTTCTTTTCTTTTGAAAAAGGAAGGTTGATGGTGAATTGTAACAGAACCTAACCCAATTTTGAAAAATATTGACAGTTGGCAGAAAAGTGTTTCCACTCTTCCATACAGCAGGAAAAGTACAACTGGACGACATTAATATAAAGACAGTCAAATAGAGAAGGCAAGAGAAAGCTCCTGACTGGTAGAGGTGAGAATAAGTGAGAATTTTGAACTCTCTAAAACAGAAAGTAGTTTAGATGAATAAGTACAGGTGTTTGTTTAATTTGTTCATGGGCTTGCTGGCTAAACCTGCATTTATTTCCTGTCTCTAATGACTTTCAAAATGTTGCTGGTGTGCTGCGCTTTTGAACCACTGCAGTCCAAGGGTTTGGTCGGGACACCCACAGCGCTATTAGGGAGGATGCTTTCGGATTTTGATCCGACTACTTTGAATGACTGGCAATGCAAGTTGTTGCAAAGTTGGGCACAGTACTTGTGGATTGGGATGCAGAAAGTTAGAATTTGGTGTTTGTAAAATGCTGAGGGGGTCGGGGGGGGCGGCGGAAGCATTGCATGGTCCCTTTAAAAGATCATGTGCTTTTTCTATGCTTAGAAATTTAAAATGAGTGTCTGCCAGCAGCAGGTTGAAAGTTTGCAAGTACACAGAGAGTACCTGAATTGAAACACTTGTATCGAAAGGCCATACAGTTAGCAGGACAAGCAGCAGCCTTTTTTACCAAGACAATAGGTGTTTGAATTTAGCCATTCAATTTGAACCACGCACTTAGATATCAAAAAATCTATTAAATTTAAGTCCGATGGTTTTGATAACATAGGACCAATCCTATTGTAAGAAATATTGATATGTCATCAAGGGTATAAAAAGAAGGGGGCAGTTGGACAAAGACTCCAGAGCTAGCTGCCATCCGCCAGAGCTAACGGCCCTCAGGTCTCAAGACAGAACTGCTGACTCTCACAGCCTCCTCTAGGTCTTGGAGAAAGCACCATCTAAACAACAACGGTACCAACAGCACAACTAGTTAATATCCCTGTTAGATAGTTAGAAGAGATTTATTCGGTTTGTTAATAGCTTAGTTAATTTGCTCACTGTTAGAGTTAGATAAATAAATTGTCACTTGTTGATTTGAAAGTGAGTGTCAAGGATTTATTTTATTTAGCCACTAGAAGCTGCTGACAAGCGGGTTACACCATTTTTCACACTCCTTTTACGGATTAAGGGGCAAGGTGCTCCTGTTTGGGTATTTTGATTTTAGTTCTTGGAGGGGGGTCAACCTCTACTTTATAACAAGGTCTAAGTCAGGATGGTGTGCAGTTTGAAGGGGAACCTGCATACAGTGGTGTTCCCATGCACCTGCTGCCCTTGCCCTTCTAGGTGGTACAAGTTTGGAAGGTACTTTGAAGATATTTGGAGCATGTATTTAAAATGAAGCTAGATAATCATTTGATGGAGAAGGGGGTTATGCAGTTAGAGTTTAAATGAGGAAGAATGGGAAGGGACTTGTATGGAGCATTATTGGATTAAATAGCTAATTTCTGTGCTGCATATTTATACAAGTCTGTGTAATAATTCCTGCAAACTCAGCACAATTAGAAATAAGTTTGTGTTGCAATAATTAAAAAGACAATAGGCAAACAATCATAAGTAAGTATTCAGAGATCTTAATCATTAAGCCAGTCATCCCTTAAAGCCTTTTGAGTTAATTTAAATGCAAATAGATGAAAGAAAGAGCATATTCTGACAGTAAAGATGATCAAACGTTGTCCTGGTCTAAACTCAGCTCTGCCTGCAACAACACATAGTGGAAAGAAAAATGAAAATGCCCAGGAGAATTTTAAAACAAAAGAGAGAAAGACCAACAATGTTAAATGTGTAATGCAGATTACAGAAAAGTAGTACAAAATCACAATTTAAAAAATAAGCACAAGATTCCAGTTATCCCACCTTATTCAAATACAAGTAATCTATTGTCATAAATACCCCAAGGCGTTCTAGGCCATTGCAGACAGCAATTAAAAGTCAACCGTACTGCATAAGGTTAGATTTATATGTAGGGTCAGACTGGATAAGGTTGGCAGATCTTCCTACTTAGAGAACATCACAACATCCAATCAAAGCTGTCATGGCCACCACCACCAAGACTAATTTTATATTTCAGATTTCATTCACAGAATTTAAATTATACCAGCTGTCATTGTGGGATTTGAACCCAGAGTTTAAGTGTAGGCCAATAGCTTACCAGTCCAGTGATATAACCACCATGTCACTGGTTCTGACCAGACATAAGCTAGATTTAGTGGGCTGGTGTGCAAAGATAGCTAAATAGCCCATGCATAGAAATATTAGATAATTTGAGCTAATTAATTCAGAACACCAAAATATACCTGCTTGGAAGCCTACCTTAGCACATTTATAACTGTCTGTACAGCATCTTGTACAACAGCTTTAGGGGATATGTCTCGAGATTCCACAGCAACTCGGAGCATCTGCTGCATTATGTCAAGAGGTTGTCCATCTAGAACCACAGTGACTGCCAGGTTGTGCAGTTTACTACTTTCAGATCTCGAAAGGTCATAAAGCTGATAGTATTTTTGAAACAGGGCCTGCAAAGAAAATAATATTTTTAGATTTGTTTTTTGGACTAGAGTCTGTAAAGGAGCTCATCGGACAGATTTTCTGAGTGACAATCAATTTTATATTAAATCTGACAAGTCTCTCTCAGTGCAGGATTCACTGTGTCTGCTGCTGTATCCTGTGATTTAAAGATCCAGCATCACAGCCAGCCACTTTGTTAGCTCCTGTGAAAAGGTAGTACAGGTAGTTCTCCTATAACACGATAGCTGCATTCTTGCGTGACCTCATGATATAGAAAATCGAATTATAGGGAAATCACTATCTGTACAGCAGAAAGTTCATGTCATCCAAACAGCGTCCACTATTCACCAAACGCATTACAGCCAATTCGCATTAATGAAACACGTGTTACAGCAGAACCACCTGTAGGGTGCCAGGTGGGTAGCAGGTTGAGTGCTAGAATGACAGGATGCCAAGCGCTGGGTGTGGAGGGGTGTTTTGGGTTCTGGAGGTAGAGTGGGGTTTTAGGTCCCATGGAGAGGGGGTGGTTGTTGGCTCCTAGGAGAGGGTGGGCGGAGGCAGCAGGGTGTTGGGTCTTAGGGGAGGGTGGGAGGAGGTAGTATTAGGTCCTAGAAGAAAAGGGGTTTGGATTCGGGTGGGGTGGTGGCTGTTAGATTGTGTATTTCTGGAATCTTCTTTTCTGTTGTTCAATTTCCAACATTTTTTTTGTGTTGTACCATTCTAAAAGGCAGAAGGTTTTTGCAAAATTTGAAGTGTTGTTCACTGCAGATGTCGAATTAAAGAACAAACTTACATTTATATCACACTGTTCATGACCCTATTGTGTCTCAAGGTGCTTCACAGCCTAAGCACCTTTGAAGAGTAGTCACTTGTTATAGTGTAAGGAATTTTAGCAACAAATATACGCATTACAAACTCCCATGAACTGCAATAAAATAAGACACCAAGGAGATCTAAGTACACAGGGCTTTAAACTAGTTTGATGATATAGTAAGATTATAACTAAAGACAGGCATTTTCTTGTGGAATTTAGGAAAATTCTAGAAGGGATTTCAGTTTTACATTCGTCAGGTTAGGGTTATATTGTTAATAATGTGACTGACCTTTGTTGTACTTAACGCAACAGTAATCCTGGTGTTCACAAATATGAAAAACATTTGATTGCCAAGCACAATGAGCCATCATTTTATATGCGCAAAGCTAAGATTAAAAAGTTTGTCTTGGGCATGTCGTATAATCACTTTATGGAAGACGAACATTGTGCAGTTGGTTGTGAAGGACAGGATTAGCTTTACCTGGTTGTTTGCCTTTAGGGAATGTACAAAGCTGTGGTTGAGTGTTTCTAGATGAGCAAGTGATTGCTGTAGATGAGTCAAAGTCTCTTCATAGCTGACTTGGGAATTCGAAGCAGGTGGGATGTTGCCTTCAAAAGCCTTTTTCTGCTGCTTCTCACTAGCCTGTTTGATTGCTTTCATTGCTCTTTTATTAATATCCAACCTAGCTTGAACATTCAGCTGCAAAAGAAAAAGACAAAAAATAGAGATGGAGTGAACATATACAAGAAAATACTGGTGACGTAAATGAGTGGTGCATAAAAGTATGAAAAAAGGAGTGCATCAATCAAGGAGAAAAATAAAATATAAAGTACAAATTATATATTAAAAGTTAGCGCCTTACTTCCTTGTGTTCCACTTTGATTTTTAGAATTTGCAATAAAAGCAGTGGGGAGGTGTGGAAGTGGATGTTTCAGCTAAAGTACAAAACACGGTGTAAGTTAATTTTGATGCTTCAGTATATCACTGCAGATCACATTATGCAACTTCACTGCACTTGTTTATCACCAATGAACAAGTTTAGTGTAGAATTTCTATTGATGTGCATCCAATATTGAAGTTGTTAGATGTGCCTCTGACATACAGAATCGATTACAATTCCACTACTGAATAGCTATCAATACCACAAAATCATATGAAATCAGCAACTCAACATCTCATGGCTCTCAGGAACTGAGACTCTAATTCTTCATTGTGCCTACTTTTAGGTAACAACTGAGCGGATCCAATGACTTGGATAGCCAACTTAATTATTTAATCTTCTCATGTGGATATTCTCACACTAGTAAGAAAATTATAGATTGAGGAATGAAGCAGTTACACAGACTGAGTATGCAGCTTTACTCTGAAAACCATTGTGAATGAATAGTTAAGCATGACCATACATATGCAGTGTGACTGTGAATACAACACAGCACAGGAGCAGGCCCTTCAGACCACCAAGCCTGCGCAGATTCCTAATCCTTAATTAGATCCGCTGCTTACTGCCCATTTTCCGTCTGTTCACCTCCCATTCATGCGTCTATCAAGATAACACCTTAAATGTTGCTAACGTGCCTGCTTCTACCACCTCCACTGACAGTGGGTTGCAGGCACCCAGTATCCTATGCGTGAAATATTTTCTCTGCACTTCACCCCTACACTTTCCCCCTTTCACAATGAACCTGTACACTCTTGTAGTTGATATTTCGACCCTGGGGAAAAAGGCTCTGACTATCCACCCTATCTATTTCTCTCAAATTTGTAGACTTCTATCGGGTCGCCCCTCAGCCTCCATCTTTCCAGTGAAAACAATCCGAGTATATCCAACCTTTCCAGACCAGGGAATATCCTGATAAACCTTCTCTGCACCCTCTCCAAAGCATCTATGTCCATCTGGTAGTGTGGCAATTAGAACTGCATGCAATATTCCAAATGTGACCTAACTAAAGTTTTGTGCATCTGTAACATAACTTGCCTACTTTTATATTTGACACCCTGGCCAATGAAGGCAAGTATGCTGTATGCCTTCTTGATGTGGATGTGCCGGTGTTGGACTGGGGTGGACAAAATCAGAAGTCTCAAGACACCAGGTTATAGTGCAGCAGGTTTATTTAAAATCACAAGCTTTCGGAGCACTGCTCCTTCTTCAGGTAAAGTCTCTCCAAAAGCTGTGATTTTAAATAAACCTGTAAGAATATAACTTGGTATTGTGAGACTTCTGAGTATTCCTTCTTGCCCATCTTATCTACCAGTATTGCCACTTTCAGGGATCTGGAGACCTGTACGACCAGATCCCTCTGTATGTCAATGGTCCTAAGGGTTCTGCCATTTATTGCATAATTCATGCCTGAATTTGATCATCCAAAACGCATTACCTCACAACTGAGGGGAGATTGCAGGCGGACAGGTTTCTAAGTTCTACCAATACTGGGAACCATTTCTCAACAACTGGAAGTAACTCAGCTGTACAATGAAATGCTTCCTGTTAATCCACACGGATGCAGAATTTTCATAAAACCATCAAGGACTGTGGTGAAAACAGTAGTTTCCTCCACTCTCATGATCAGATCAGAGGTCCTAGTGCAGGCAGCATTATGATTTAATTAGATTTCCTAATAACTATTTTTACCCTCAATCGTGACGTTCAATGTTGGATTTTAAAATTATTTTTGTATGGCACACCATTCTACTGATGAGGATATGCTAAATGCCCAAGTCCAAGGTCACTTGGATTATGGCAACTTGGGTGGTTCCAGAAATTTAGAATTGGTATCTTCAAGAAGGAAAATTGAAAGAAAACATTACACAACAAAATGATCTATATAAAATAGTAAGAATAGCTATCCAGTTTCTCATTAAAAGCTCACGCAATGCTGTTTGAATCTGTTAAGCACTGTTACATAAGTCAAACCTTTTAACATGAAAACATTAACTTCAAAATCATAAGTGGGCTAGACAGAATAAGTAGGGAGAAAGTATACCTGCTCAGAATAAGAGGGTGCAAACTGAAAGTGACCTGCAAAAGAAGCAAGGGTGAAGTGAGGAAAACTTTTCACTCAACGTGTAGTTGAGCTATAACACGTACATCCTGGAAGTGCGATAGAGGTTCAATTGGAGCATACAAGAGGGCATTGGATGCTTATTTAGATAAAAATGATATGCAAGGGGATGTGGAAAAAGCAGGAGATTGGCACCAGGATGATGATACTCATTTAACAAGCTGGTGCACACATGATTGGCTGAATGGCCTCCTTCTATGCCATAACATTTCTGTGATTTTATGATATGAGCTCTTGTAGTTGTCACTTAATCATAAGAAGCTTAGTTGCATTTTTAAAAAATGCTTAAAAGAAAAATATCCAGACAAAAGCAAGAACTGCAGCAATACTGTTCCCTAAGAAATGTACCTATCATTTTCAGCTATTGTCCTTTTGTGGAAAGATTTAAAAGGAATAGTGTAAGGCAATGGGAAATTAGTCTCACTTTACAGCTAATGCTGTAGCCAGAAAACATATTTCATTATCTTTATAACTGCACCTTGGAGGAAAGAAGCAGGCAGTCTCAATAATGTGCAGCAAGAAAGTTGATATAAAAAGTTTTTCATAAAATCACAATATATCTTTTTTTGAAAACAAGTTATGATTATGATATTTTTACTAGTTTGGTCTATTAAGTTTCCATTTAGGAGTATAGGAACAGGCGTAGGCCATTCTGTCCCTTGAGCGTGTTCCGATATTCAATGAGATCATGGCTGATCTATGGTCTAACTCCATATACCCGCCTTTGGCCTGTATCCCTTATTACCCTTGCTGATCAGAAATTTATCTATCATGGATTTAACATTAACAGCTGATCCAATATCAACTGTACTTGTGGAAAAGAATTTCAAACATCTACCACCCTCTGTATGTAGAAGTACATCCTAACATCTCTTCGGAATGATCTGGTCCTAATTTTTAGACTATACTTTCTAGTTCCATATTTTTTATACACCTGTTGCAATATTAAAATACTTGGACAATCAATAATCCATCCTGGTTCTCTAAACAGAGTACAACTCAAGAGTAATGATCAAAAACCAGTTTTCTAAATTATATATTTCATATAAGTGTCAATAGTTCAGTCCTTTTAAGTGCAATTGTCAAGTTGTTCAATGCTAAGAAACTGGCTAGGAGGCGTTCCTGTTTCAAAAGCTTGACAAGCTGTTGATGCAAATATCTCATTCTTATGACAGACAGCATTGAATGGAAACATCTTTGCAATGAAGCTGCTCTGTATAAGATGAGGCACATATTTACTAATGATAGCTCATAATGTGATCCAAACTTCAGTGTTAATGCACAGTTGAAGCTTCTGTGATTTATGTACGCTGGTGCCCATGTTCAGCCCAACAATTCTAAAACTATATTTTTGGCCATTACAGTGGCTGAAAGGTCAGTCCTCCTATAGCCAAATCCAAGATGGCGGACATGACCTCATCAACAGCAACGAAAACAATCAACTGTTACTATCACTTTACAAATAAATCTGAGCCAGTCAATTTCTAACTGAAGAAATTTTGGTGCGATCACAGAAAGGTAATTGGATTAATTATTTGGTTGGTAGTTACAGACATGTATATGCTTTTGTGTGAGTGTATACATGTGGAAAAAGTAATAAAAAAGTCCATACATCTCAAATATTACAATGATAAAATTGGTGAACAGCACTAGAGCGGAACAGACTAACAGTGAGTTGATAGCCTATTTGACACCATACACTATTTTCATTCTATTCAAGTCAATTTTACCATCTATTTTTCAATATAATTCTGAGAACAGTGACACTGTTAAAGGAGCAAGTTTAAAAATACTCTTTGACTATGATATGACAGAGACTCAGCCAATAATGCAACAGTATTTTACAAAATGCAGTCTGGCAATAGTTGTGAAACTTGAGTCATCCATACCAAACTGCTGTTATTTTAAGCTTCCAACTCACAAATGCATGACATTAATTATTCTAAATGTATAAAATATTATGTATAGAGTTTAAAAATGACTTTTAAAAATCTGTGTTTTGACAATAAACATTTGGTACACATAAGGGCACTGAGGAGGTGTTAATATTCAGCATTATTTCTGGGCAAACTTTAGGCATATTTGAATAATGCCTCCCTCGCATTATATGATATGATTGAAATTACAAAGGACTGCCTTACATTTTTAAATTGGGAGTTAGTATTGCATGAAAATTGATTAAAGACAACACTTGCAGCACTAAAATTCATGATTATCTGCCCGATCATCTTATGAATAAGATACTGATGCACATATTTTTTAGTTGTAATGTTGAATGTCATTGTATGCGAATAGCTTCAGGTTGTATGCAATGTCTGTTGCATTGAAAAGAAAAATTCTGCTTATATAGTGCAAAACTACGAATACATCATAAATAATTCGGTCAGTAAGCTTTGGACAGGATCTCTCCATGGGCATTACTCTAATACTTCATGCAATTTTACAGTTTCTACAAGTGTTGTCAGATTTGGTTGACAATCATGTAATCTTCATTTTTACGTTTAGCCTGTTAGAATTCTGTGGTAGTAGTATGCTCTCTTTATCAAAAACAATACACATTGAAGGATCATGATAACATTCATTGTAATACATAACCTGATGTTTGAAAACCTGAGTTCTATGTGGTTGCTAGGAACTGCTGACATTATGATCCTTTTACCACGAAAGTAATTATAATAGTTTTAATGTCCTCTTGTATTTCACCTGTATTTACATCATAACAAATCTTGCAAGTTGTTATTTTAATAATACAGGTAGTGTAATTAAATAATCCTATGCAGCACTGATTCAGTGCAGTTGTAGGCATTGAAATCACACTGCAAGTGTAGACTAGCGCTTATACTTGTAATGTTTCAACTGGGAATTGTTCAGCGTTTGGCTACAGATATAAACTAAAGTACTCAAAACACCCCTAAAGGAAGGAGTCAAAAAATATAATTTTTTACACATCACAGGTAACATTATAAAAATAGAACTGTACTGAGAGTAATCTCATAAATTAAGCACAGCCAGCTCTAAGGAATAACGGGCTGGATTCTGTGACAACAAAACCCAGTTACTATCAGTGACTCTGAGACCTGGATTTTCTCCACCAAAGCCGACAGCTTGAATTGAGAAATTTCCCAATTTGCCACACCTGCCTTGGTAGAAATGCCCGAGTGGCAAATCTTGGTGCTTTGGGTAGGGCAGTAGGGTGGTTATGGAGAACAATTCAGGCTCGCCAGCCCTAGAATCAGATCACAAATAGCCAAAGAAGTGGCTAATTAACAGGCTCACCATTGGCCTTTGTTCCAACTGTTCAGTTACATTTTTAGGCCCTTTGGTCCTCACTCCTCACACACTACCAGCCTACATAAGATGGGCATGAAGAGTATGTGTAACTCTTAGCTATGGGTGAATCAGGGGACAACCTAATACCAAACCAAGTCAACTCACCAAACAACCTTGCCCTCCATTTCAACTCACTCAATATCCTCTAGGGGTAGATCTCTGACTGACGTTGAGGTGAAATAAAGCAAAGTTCTAATACAGCTTCAACTATATTCTTAAAAACTCCCATTCCTGAAAACACATTCAACCCAAATCTCAAATGGTGCCTCACTTTCAAAATCAAATTTCTATTCATAAACACACATCACAGATAGCAAACCAGTTAAGAGCCTTTTCGAGCTGTCATATTGTGAATGTACAGCACTTTGCTGAGATAATTATGTTTTGGAACTCAACCCATGTATTCATAAAGAGACTTTAGGGAAATGGCAACAAACAGTGCTTAACCTGTTAAAGTTAACTTCTTGATTAAATTCTCACTGATTTTGGTTGCCTTTCATTTTCATTTTTAAAGAACAGGGGATTTAAATAATTTTACATCATGAGAATTAGGCTGACCTCATCAACAATCAAGATTCTTTACATATATTCCATAAAATTCAGACCCTTGTAGGAGCTAAAATGGAATCCAGATATGAACCACACCCTGCCCCCTTCTGACAAAGACAGAAATTCAAGGAAACACGACCACTTGCAAGTGGCCAGCCAGCAATGCTCATGAGTGAATTAAAAATAAGATGTGAGGCCAGTAGTGCTACATTGGAAGCAGTGATGCAGTGAAGCATTAATTACACAAGGCACCTGTTCAACATAGATGCAACAGACCTTTGCAATGGTAAGCCGACAATGCAAACCCTCTGTGAGATACAGGGCAGTGAGTAGACAGTGGTACCCATTCTATTTGAGCTCAGACTAATTATCCATTTGATCGCTGGAGTCAGGTTTCTTGGAATTGCCCATAAACATTGACCTCCCAAGTCAACTTCTGTCCAAGGTGACAACAGTCAAGATGTTGTGTCCATTCTTAGGGAAAGAGCATCCTTTCTCTGCAAAACAGTCTCAGGAGAACCACAAGAGAGGCATTAAGACAGTGTGTTGCTGTTATTTTGCCTAGTCTCCAACATCTTCAAGGGTGGATGGGGTGATAAGCAGATATTGAGCAATGCTCTGGGTTGAGGAGCATGAAGATTTGTCTGGATTTTTTTAAAATATGCCACCCAGGAGTTGGAACCTGTACATCTTAATAGAGAGCAGGGCTTCCTGCCCATCCATAAAGTCTGCGGTTTTACTTGTGCAGGCATATGCAATTAGCTGAGAACAATGTAAGCATGCATGAAAACCTGACTCACACCTTAACCTCCTGCTTAATCCCAAAAGAAGAAGATTTTGCCCTTTCATTCTCCTCTTAATTTATTTTTGCATCTACCATTGTAACGTTGGCAAATTTGGCTACAATACAGTCAAATTTCTCAAAGTGATTAAAATACTGTGGTGCCAGCACTGTTCCCTGTGGCACTCTATGAGTTACAATTTACTGCTCTGAAAATGATCCATTTATCTCAACTCAGTTTCTTGTTACTTAGAGAGACCTTAGTCCATGGGATTACATCAGCTCCATAACACCATGATCTATTCCCTTGTGCCATTACTCTGTGGGACCCTCTTTTGAATACCACATGGAATCCAAATATACCACATCTACTGCTTTCCCTTTATCCACCTTGATTGTTAGCTATTTAAAGAACCTTGATAAATTTGTCAAACGTGGCTTATTGTTCACAAAACCATGTCCTTTTTGGCAAATTGTATTTTAATTTGCGACATATTTTTTTTAAAAATGCTGGATTGCAGATTTTTCCCAATAACAGATATTAGACTAAGTGGTCAAGAGGTTCCTGCTTTCTGCCGTCCTTCTTTTGCCCCTGCTTAATAAGGTGGTAACAAGATGTTCCAACACAACACAGACACCAGAATGTCACTTTAAGAATTGCTGCATGCAGGCAGCTATAAGAAGACACAGTGCCTTATTACTGGGCTATCATATTATTCCATAAAGAAATAAAGAAGCACATGAAACATACAAGAAAAAAGGAAGAAAATTGTGAAAAAGTTAAAAGTAGATTGACTGAATAGATCCCCTCTGTACTGTCACTTCTGATTCAATGAAGTTTACAGATGATCCCAATCAGCATTTCCTAAAATGGGATGGTAACACAATAACAAATAATTTGAAATACATGAGTTTGTGTGAATATGTACTTTTATCAGACACTCACTTTGGTACCGCACACAAGTGCAAAAGCTTTAAATTGTGAATTCAAAGCAAACTCAAGGTAAATGCAAGTAGTAATCCTACAAATTAAATAACTTTCATTACCTTGTTCACGGAATTTTCAGAAAAGGTGAAGTCATCTATTAGTCCAATAATGTCTTCAGGGAAAAGCTTGTCGAAATATTTTGCACATGTATCATAGGCATGCAACCATTCAGCTTCTTCCTGTGCTGGTTTTTTAATAAGCTGGATATCTCCAGTCCAGAAAAGCTTACGAAGCCATGTGGCATAGATAAGGTTTGCTGAAAGCATTGTGCCATCTTTCCTAGGAATTTTGGATGCCAGTTTAGAAACTGATAAGACATTATGGCTGTTAAGAACTGGCTCCAAAGATTCCAAAGGATCAGAGTCTCCATCTGTCAGCTTCTTAT